TGGAAACTATTTTTTTGTGGAACATCAGTAAGTTCCTAGAATATTTTCAAAACTTTCCAAATAAACCCCAAAGTGTAAAAAGCTGATATGTAGGTGTGTAAAGCCTGCAGAAGTTGTATTTTAAGGGTACACTCTAATGCCCTGGCAGAGTTGGTGCTGTAATACTCTCAGAAATCAATGGCCAGTTATGCAGCATGTGAAAGGGTGTGACAATCCACCTTGCATGGGAAGTTCTGCTCTGATGCATCTACACAAGTAGTGTATTAAATTATGCAAGCAGTACTTTTTAAAAATATTATTTTACAATTCTGCTTGAAGATAGTTGGCTAATTTGTGTATAGAGCCAAAATTTGCTCTGAGTTTATTGAATTTTCCTTTTCTGTTAAGCTTTCGAGTTCATTTAGCAGTGAGAGTTTGTATAAAAGGAGTAACATCCATGTAGGCTCCCTGCACTTTAAACGATGCTCGTTTCTTTAAACCTTGTGTGCCAGCTCAGGAGCAATAATATCAAGTGACTTCAAAGGACAACTGCTCCCAACAATCCACAGTGGCTTGTATTTCAACTCGTTAACCAGCAGAGCTCACCAGACCTGTTATTTTATTTCAAGGCCTCTGCTACTCTTTTCATGTATTGAGCTACAGTCCCAGCTCAGTGCAAATAAAAGGGGGGGGGGAAAAAAAAGCAAAGTTGTGTAGAATTTGGTAAGGAGGTCAATCCCTGCACATGTGTCTGCAGACATAGGCACACAGACTATTTTTAAAGTAAACCTGGAACATATGTTTCATGCAAGCAGTCAATAATAAAGCTTGATGACATGTTTTCCTTCTCTCACACCCACTTACTTGCTTCCCTCCTTTGACTATGTCTTGTCTGAAACCAAGACTGAAGGTTCTTTGGAAAAGGATCTGTCACTATAAATCAGCCAGACTCTGATTTGGCTTCCTACATGCTGTTTCAGAATATATGGCAATAATTATTAGGTCATTTATTTTGCATGTCAGTGGTGTTCATTATAGTGAATGTATTTGCCTTTTCTCTTCCCTCCCCATTTAAGGTATCAAATGATATCCCTACAAAGTGCTTATTCAAACTGGCAGATCTCTTATACGTGCTAAGAAGTAGAAATATATCAAATTTGACACAGTTTTCATTCTGATAATATTGCTTGATAGTGGGTTTCTGAAACAAGGTCAAGGCTAAAAGCTGGACTATTTGACTTATTTTGGGTTTAATATAGGTGAGTGTAATTGATGTCAAGGAAGCTTCAGCTCCAGCCTTAGTTTTCCACTCCTCAGCCTTCTTTTAGACTGTGAGTGGGGGGATATTTACAGCCTGAACAAAGCTTTTGCCAGCATGTAAGTCAGCATAAAACAGTGCCCATTGCTGAAAGAATCACTTCCACCTTTCCAAGGGCCTTCCATTTCTCATTTTCAGCACTGTACCTTGTCATAAGCAGAAGCAATTGTGTGACTGTACGTTGAGCCACTTCAGGCTCACCTAAATTGAAGCTCATCAGTTTTTTTCTGACCCTGGTTCACTACCTAGTCCCACAAACTCCTGTATAGGCACAAAACAAAGTGCCATGAAGGGTCAGAAAAAACGTGTCCAAGGGCAGCAACAGACAGCACTTGTGTAGCAGTGCTTTGTGTAAAGAGTGCCTGAAACTAAGGCCTGATGCTACTCTGATTATATCTCCTGGACAAAACTCTTTGATTTTTGTAGGTATTATGTCTGAGAAAGGCCTGGTGACCTTGGTCCTTGATGGTTCCTTGGAGAAGCAGTTAGGGTTTTGCATTAATAGGGTAACCTGGTACTATAGACAAATTTGTATAAACAGTTCATAATGCTATTAGTTTTTTATTTAATTCATGGCTATCTGTATCTGTCTGTTCTTAGGATGAGAGAAAGACTCATCATTAGACTGGAGTTGACTCTGAAAGACAGAAGAGAAAGGTATAAAAAAAAAAACCAACAAAAACAAACCACAGCCCTGTGTTTGTTGGAGCTTTCACCTCGCTCTTGGTGGTGCCGGAAGGTAGACTTCTGTCATGATGTTGGTCAGGGCTTTTTTCTGCTGCTATCTCTCTCTACCATTCTCTCAGAACTGGAAAGGAGATAAAAATCCTGCCCTTCTACCTGTAATTCTGAATCAGCTCTCCTAACCCTTGGCTATGTGCCCAGCAAAACCCCAGAGCCAAATTCCCTGTCAAAGCCAAGCATCCTGTGGCTTGTCTCTATTATCTAAGTGAGGATATACAAGCCCAGAAGAAGGGAAGGGAGAAGTACCTGGTCCAATGCAAATAGTGATTTCCTCTTCCATACTAATGTTTTAATAATGGTTTGAGAGTGATAGGGATTTGTGAAGATGTTTGAATTCAGTCTGTGAGCCTGTTGCAATTGCATTTGTAGCAGCTGGAATGTCAAATAAATTCACCCAATTTCACCTGCACAGTATAGGAACACGATCAGATATGTGCTCCTAGGAATTCACTGTAGATCCCACAAAAAGTCTTGAGACTACAGTGCCACCTGCAGCGTTCTCACCCCTGTCCTTGTGGGACAGGGGCCGGCAACTCAGCAGGGTTGTGATCTACTGCATCTAATTTGAGAAGCCAAGAGCAAGCATTGCATGGTGCCCTGCAACCTGGAGCAAAAGTGGGCTTGTCCTGTTTTTAAGGTTTTCCTGGCTGAGGATGACTAGGCAGACTTTGCAACTTTGAATTTCCAGGCTTCCTTCACCTCATACTTCACGAAATACATGACACCTCTATCAGTAGTCTGATGATGTACGGCCCGTTGCAGCTTATTTCTGTAATGTGCTTACTTTTTATTTGCTTTGTGTGGCTAATGAGAGAGCATACATAACAAATCCAGGTGTGTTGCTCCCATCGGTCCCTGGGGAAGCTGTCACCAGGTAGTGGCATCACCCTCCGTTACCTCTGCACTGGTTAACAATAGTGCAGGGCAACCACCAACTCCTGCACCCCCAGCTTATTCTTCAGCTCCTCTCCCATGAAAATTGAAATTCCTCACTCTGGGCATGGGCTCATGCTTCTAAATGCCACTAACTACCCCTGCAGTGACTAGATCTGAGGGCTGTGCACTGCTACTGGTACCTCAGGGGACCCCTCATGCCACCAGAAAGTGAGGGGATAATGCTGTCATGGAACAGGCTGGAGAGCTCTACTTTCTACTTGCTTTGCACACTAGATAACACAACAGAATCCCAGTCCTGATAGATTTTTTTTTTTTTAAATCACACTCAATTGGGAACACTTGTTTAGCCTTATTAAGTGTTTTATTAGCTCTAAAAATAGGTTCTTAAATATTTTCCAAGGTTGACTAAAATGTGAAAAACAATTATATAATCAGTGTTTAAAATAAACCACAGTTTGTTATAACTGAGACCCATTCAGTGGAATAACATTTATCAAGAATCATAGCATATAGAAAACTGTACAGCCTCTGCAAATCCCCAGATGGTATTTCTCCCATTGCTTTCAAACTGAGTCGTTGCTGAGTTTAGTTTTCTGATGTCCATCAGAATTCCTACCAGCAAGAACACTGCAAAAGTGGAACATGGTCTTTGGGTGAGCAGGCTGCAAGGTTCTTAATGAAAATAAAGAACTGGTCTATTGGTGTAACCCTTTTTTATACTTTCTTATTGTTAAATGAAAACTTTTATAAATAACCTTACATAAATAATAACCTCAGAAGTTTTAAAAAGTTCACACCATCAGTCAGACCTAACTCAACATTCTCTGGTCTCTCACTGCTTAAACTGTTTCTGCAATTACTCTGGAATAAAAGAATCCTTAATGTCTCTTATTGTAAGAGCAGATCATATATTTTCGGCAAGAGTTAAGCTGCAGAGGAAGATTTGGCAGTTAAGTGAAATGCATGTTACAGCTGATGCTGCCTTTTTTTATTATTGTTATTGGAATAACTGAAAAGATTAAGCTGTAGTGCAGGTAGGGCTTGAGTCATGCTTTTATCGTTGCATCTCTTGGCCTGATATGAACTATATTATTATAAATGGTAGCTCAAGCTGATTCTGTACTTTGTTTATCTACAACCAAGCTCAGCCAAAGATCAGCTAGCCTAGTGAAAAAATGTAGTTGAAGGCTGTGTACATACAGGCACTGCTAATTACTTTCAATGACTGTCAAATGAACATTGATACTAACAGATTTCTTAGTATGCCTTTAAACAAAGCACTGTTATCTATGCATAAGAAAAAGCACTACACAGAGCAGAGTTAATACAACATGTCAACCTATATTTTGATTTAGTTTGTTCTTTAAAAAAAAAAAAAAAAGGAAGTGATTTATCACCCCTTTCTGTTGCCAAAAGGAACTGCAGTACCTTCCAAAAGCTTGCGCCCTGGGAGATCCCAGTGTCAGTGGTACTAACACCTCTTTTCCTCCGTGGTGTTTACATGATCAGCAGCTTTAGTCTCAGTGACTTTTTGCCTGTAAAGGAGCCGGGTGTGTTTGTAAATGACAGGCAGTATAACCCACCATCTGCCTCTGCACTGCCAAGAACCTGTTCGGGAAATCCAGATTCCCGCCCCAGAGCTCACATCCCGGCATTTTGCTCGTGAAGAGCTTACCCAGAGCAGTCTGTGCTACAGTGGGGAGTTCGTGGGGAGCCCTGGGATTAAAAGGCCCGGCAAGAAAAGCTTCGGAGGGAAGCAAGCGGCAGGATTTAAGGAGAGAGCAACCCCAGACGTGTACGAAACGCAAACCCGCTGTGGGTTTCTCTCTTCCTCAGATAAAAGTACCTGCGAGCCAGCCTAAACGCTGCCCGCGGACGACTAGTCAGAACAAGCCCAAACTCCAGAGCTCAAATTAAAATGTTTCCTCTGCGCGACTGCCTCCTGCGCCGGGAGTTTCCTCGCCTGCCCCACACCTGCCCGCAGCCCCACAGCGCCCTGTGCCTCGGCAGCCCCGCTCCGCTTGTGCCTCGCTGCCCGGCAGGGGCCGCGGCCGGGCGGGCGCTACACGAGGGACTCGCAGACGGGCACCGAGTCCGAGTCCTGGCTGTGCATGGAGCTCAGCCCCGTGTCCGAGTCCTCGTCGTTGTCGGCGCGGTCCTTGCGCAGCTCCACCCAGCCGCCCCCCGGGGTCGCCGCCGGCCGCCCCCCGCCCGCTGCCCCGCGGGGCTCCGCCGGCGCCTCCGCCACGTCCAGGGTGCCCAGCGTCTCCAGCAGGCGCTGCAGCTCCCGTTCCTTGTCCTCCCACGCCCGCTGCGTACAGTCCAGGTCGGTCTTGACGGCCTCCAGGTCCGTGCTCAGCTTGAGGCCGATGTAGAGGCTGGTGCTCAGCTGGGTCTTGACCCGCTCGTGTTCCAGGTGCAGCTCGCCCTCGCCGCCGCCGCTCAGCTCCGTGGTGTCGCAGTCCGTGTCGGCCAGGCCGGGTCCCGCCGCCAGCTCCAGCTCCTCCCGCCGCCGCTTCATCCAGCGCTCGTTGAGCTCCTCCTGGATCTCGGCGGCCAGGTGCTCCAGCAGCTCCTCCTGCTGCGCCCGCTGCTCCTGCAGCTGCAGCACCTCCTCGCACTTCCTGGCATAGTCCTCCTCGGGGCGGCCGGCGGGGGGCTGGCCAGGCTCCGGCTCCCCGGCGCCCACCAGGTAGGTGTCCTGCACGTAGTTGACGCCGTGCCGCTTCATGCGGTCCAGGTGGATCTTAGCCTCGTACCTGTCGATCTCCCGGTCCAGCTCGCGGAGCCGCTGGATCTGCTGCCGGATGGTGTGGTCCTGCGAGAGCACCAGGTGCACCAGCGTCTCCATCCTCTCCGCCGACGAGGCTTCCCGGGCCAGCGGCTGCTGCCGCTTCTTGTTGATCTTGGCCAGCTTGCGGAAGGCTTTCCGCACCACCCGGCGCTGCCGCTCCTGCGTGAGTGCCAGGCTGGCTCGGGCCGCCCCCAGGCCGCGGCCGGGGCGCTCCTTGCTCAGCACCACCCGCGCCTCGGCGCTGCGCGGACCCGCGTTGGGCAGCGAGGCCTCGCTGCGCACCAGCACGAAGCGCACGTTCTCCTGCTCGTCCCCCCACGCCACCCAGAGCCGCAGGATCTTCGTCTTGTTGGGCAGGATCCTCTCGAAGCCGCGCCACTTCTCCACGATGCAGTAGGAGTGCGGCGGCCCCGACAGCATCCCGCCGCCGGGCTCGGGCGGCGCCGGGCACTGCCGCCGGTGGTGGCTGTCCTCCAGCAGCACCCGCACCACGTCCGAGCAGGTGGTCCGCCGGGAGAGCCCCGAGATCAGCTTCTCCTCCTGGCAGATCCACACCGAGATCTTCCGCTCCTCGGGCTCCATCGGGGGCGGCTGCGGGGCGGGCGACCGGGGCCGCGGGCTCAAGGCTGGCCGAGCAGCCGCTCCATGGGCAGCGCTCACGGGAGGCGCGGCGCAGCCCGTCCGCCCGGCTTCAGCGCGGCCGGGATGCCGGCCCTCCCCTCCCCGCCCGCGGCACCCCGCCCGGCCGCTCCACCCCTTCCTGCCCGGTGCGGGGCCGCCGGGGGCGGGGGGGCCGGCCCGGTGCGCTGCGGACCCGTCGCGGTCCCGTCCGCTGCCTGCGCTCCGCCGCGTCCCGCCGCCTCCCGGCTTTCCTCTCCCCACGTGGGCGCCCCCGCGGATCACACCCCGAGATCCGCCGGCGCGGAAACTTGGGAGCAGGTCACCGTCGTCTCCGTGTCTTCTTTCCCCTCGCCCCGCCGCTGCCGGGAACGAGCGAGCGAGCGGCGTCGGGGGATCTTCCAAAGTGCCGAGGGACAAGAGCGAATCCTGGAGCTTCAAAGGGAGAGCCAGAACTAGTGAGGAATTTCCAGTTTTAGTAAATCATCCGCCTGTAATTAGGAAATTCATGTTTGCAAAGCACTTCGCAGATGAAATATGCAAAGGACGGGAATGTCTAAGTGTTATTAAAATACTAGCTGAGCCAGATTTTAATGGGAGCTTGCTGTGTACTTTGATGGGAACAGGATCGGTCTCCGAGTGCGGATTAAAATGAGAAGATGTAAAAAATGGTAATAAAACACAGGGTTGCGGCACTGATTTTCATGGTGCGATTGCATTGCAGGGTTCACGGACCTGGGCTTTTCTACATGGTTAGAAGAGTATTATAGTGGGTAAAGGGGGAAATCTCTCTCAGACCTGGAGGCTGATGAGTTTTAGAGCCAATAAAACTGGTGTGCCGTGCGGAGAGGGTTTTTGTGTGAATAAGTTTTGTGTTCCAGTCAGTGGAATAGAACAGCGTAGTGGCATTGTAGCCTAACTACTGTAATTCTGCTGTTTGAAACAGTGACGCTGGGGCACACAAAATAGCGAGTTAACAATTATGCAGCCTAACGTCCTGTTCTTCCCTAAAGTAACAGGCTCGGTGTGGGCAGCTGCTGCGCCGGCTTCTCCCGTATTTACGTGGAAAGACTAGTCCTGGGGAAGGAAGCCTGCCTTCTGCCCGGGCTGCGTAAGGCAGCTAATTACGGTGGTGGTTTCTGACGTGCAGCCTCCTGTCCCGTGAGGAAGTGGGCAGAGGGACCACCGAACGCCAGCATTCCTGGAGCTGCAGATCACACGGATCGTGCGCCTGCCGCTAACGTCCCTTTCCTGTGTTATTGCAGGTTAAATGATTCCAAACCGAGGTGGCCGCTGCGTGTTGCAACAAGGGCACACAAGACGGGGGTGTTGGTAACAGGCTGGGTTTTGCTCCCTGACCACAGCCGCCTTACGTTAATGTTGCGTGTTCCTGTCCAACGGTAGTCTGGCACTGCCAATTCCAGAGGCAAGGCATTTTGCTCTCCTGATGTATCAGAAGTGCTAGATTGCTGTGCTTTGTGTAGAGAAAGCGTTTGCTGACGGAAGGTTATTCCGAGGTGTGTGGGCTTTTTGTTCGGTGCGTTGATTATGCCTGAAAGCATCATTCACTCCAGGGCAGAGGAAGGTGGGTCCAGCAGGGGCAGTCCTGTGAGAGAACAAAATGGTCTTAACCAAGGGGGTCTTCAGGACTCTGGGGCAAACCTGACAGCTCACACTGCTCCAGAATGATAGGATGTTGAACAGGAACGGGATGTGAAATGTAACCATATGATTTAGCTTTGCCTCTGGAAGGCTCAAGATTTAAAAAAAACCTTCAGAAGAGTAGGAAAAGAAAAGCCTTGTTGCTCTCATCAAGCTGGCAGAAACTTGGAAATTAAGACCATTCCTCATTGTCTTTTGCAGAATCAGGTGCAGCATAAGGGGTAATGAAGCAGTGAGAAACTGTCCAACACCTTTAATGGTGATTCCTTGCCTTTCCCATTTAGTTTTGATCTTGTTTTACATGTGTTTCCTATGAGAATGTCTGTACCTACTTTCTTCTGGCAAAGAACAGTACAGGAAGAGCAGGGTGTGATGTGAAGAAACATCTTATGCTCGCCACAGGTCAAGCTGCTCCAACTTGTCTGACTGCCTATATCTACTCAGCATCCAAGCCTGGCTTTGTGCAATGAAATTGGAAGATGATCGTTCCATCTTTCCTTGACCACATCTCTGTGTATGGAAAACTGACTCTGCCTACCCAGTGACACCCCCAAGGCAACATTGCCAGAGAGAGAATGAAGATGTTGGCAGTTTGGTCTGAGGCAGTAATTGTAAGAGCAAGATCAGAGAAGCAAACACTTGATTTTGGTAGGTAGGATATGCGTGGTAGATCTATGGTTAAAAAGATGGCATTAGAAATTCACATTGTTGGATCTCAAGTTTAACCCTCAGGAATTTTGTTTTAGTCTCTCTGCAAACTCAGGAACCTGCCAGCAAAGCTTCAAAAGTTTGAAATGCTTATATGCTTGAACTCCACCTGAAGCAAAGTTTGGGCCCTGCTGTGCTGAATCCCAAAAGGCAAATGAATGCAGGCAACCCTTTGCCTTTCCTCTCAGGATCTTAAAGCATCCTACAGAGGATGGTTTTATCTTATTTTAAAGATAAGAATGCTATGGTATAAAGGAATCCGGTGTCTTGCCTAAGGTTATGTAGTGAGGCAGTAGCAGTGTCACAAAACAGATCAGGTTCCTTCACTCTGGTACCATTAGTCACTGAACTCGACTGCCTAGTGCTCCGCCTCCATCCTCTCCTTCTCTCCTTCTTTTAATTATTCCATGAGAAAGGGAGATGAGGAAGAATACATTAGTCCAACAACTGCAGATGGTGATAAAACGAAAGTGCAAGCTCAGCAGACAACATGTACCTCCGGTGAAGCAATAGGAGGCAGTGCCATACGGGCTTCTTCAGGCATCTCCTCCCTGGTGAAGGCAAACCTCCTTCAGTTCACTGTCCTCAAGTGATGTGCAGAGAGGGTGTCATTAAAATATCAATTTGGAGGGAAGGACACCTGTTCGTTCCTCTCTTCACCCCCTTGTCCACAGAGCAGTGATGTGTGAGGTCTTCTGTAATTTCTGAAACAAGCATATCACATAATTTAAAGCTTAAAATGTAGTAAATGGTCTGTTGGAATGCAGAGGCTGTTTCTATACTGCCATATCAATACACAGCTGACAGCGCGCTCTTTTTCTGAGGCACAAACTTCCTGGACAGAATGCATTCCAAAAAAACACTGCATGGCCTACATTTCTTTGGTTTGTTTTATAAATTGCAAAAATTCAAAGTTGATGATACTCCTAACAGCTGCCTAAGCCCCAAAAGGAGATTTATGAGCTTAATATTTTAGGCTGTATTGAAAAGTTCAAGCCCAGGTATAGACTAGTTTATTTTTATCCACTGCAGGAGAATTACAAGGCCAAGTGATGGGAAATCAGATATATTTTGGCATTTCACATGAAGTTCTATTTCTTCCTTCTTTTTCATTGAGGCGTGCAAATAAATTACAAGTCTTTTGTGATAAGAACAGCTTTCCTATTACAGGGTTGGATAGTGAAGTGTCTCTCTTTTTTTGTTTGTTTGTTTGAGCTGAACTACCAGAATGAAATTGCAGCCCTGATATTTTTAATAAGTAAAATGATGCAAGTCTTCATCTTAAATCCTTTGAATCTAAACCAAGTAAATACAAATGTGCTTTCTGCTTCTGCACTTCATATAGCAGGAATGTGGGGGAAGTCCTAGAACACTGTGGTTGAGACACAAAATTAATTTCTTTCAAAAACATTTAAATGGAAAAAGTATACAGAGTCGGATTCAGGGTATTTTTCTTTTTTTCCACAGTGAAGTTGCTTTTACTTTTTAGATCACTCTCAGGACAATTTATTTATTTTTCCTGAGGTTACAGTTCAAAAGAATACAGCCTATGTGAGATGAGTAAAGGCAGGCTGCAACTGGTAATCTATTGAGCCATCACTGTCTGGAGAGGTTACTCTTTGTTGTGATGCTGAACAGCAAGGCTGCTTTCCCAGCTCCTCTTCCTACATTCCTGTTAATCTGATTTTGTGATGTTTAGAACTTGGTCCCTTATACTTGCTGCTTTCTAACACTTTGCCTCAACAAACTTGGATGAAGCCCTGGGACATAACTTTACTGTAGTGTTACAGACTGCTGCAATGGTTGCTCACCTTTACAGACAAATGAATGGGGAACGGGCTACTTGAGCTTACAGGTCACTCTCTCACGGGTGCTTTTTCCTTTAGTACCTAGTTTTTCCTGATAGTATAGAGCTGAATAACCAAATCATGTTGGAATAACCAAATCATCCATAGTTTAGCATGCATTGAATAAAGCACTTGAAAAACTACCTCTCTATTAGCAGCAGTATGCAGACTTCAGTCAAAACAGTTTGTGGTCTTAGACTTTCATTTGAAAGGACGTTGTTCAGTTTATATCTGAGCAGCTTTAGACCTGAGAGAATGCTTCTTACTTTCAGATATTCTGTTAAAGCCACTGAAGGAACTGGCACTTTTGATAAAGATGACTTGTAAGGAGCATAAGGAACTCTTGAACTGCTTCTGTAAGCAATGAGGTCTCTGAACTCTTGATCCATTTCCTTCAGTCTCTTGCATCTGATGGGTACTATCTCACTTCTGAGTGCCATCTATGCAATTAGTATGGTTGAGATATCTGGAAATCTGGAGTAATTCCTTGCTTCACATCTTACATGATACTTATATGCTTATGGGATCCATTTGGGAAGACTGTGGTGTGGTCTGTTTGCATAATAGCTGCCAATACTGGGTTATACTGCTTTGACTACTTCATCCAATCCAACTTCTTCTTTTTTAATGTGCACACACCCAGACTACAAACGGGTATGTCAGGAGGAAACTGTCTTCCAGTGAAATCAGTGGGGGCTGCCTGGGTAAATCCCTCTGCAGTGCTTTCAAACTGCAGGTATGTCTATA